CCCAATTCCAGAAAAGTTGGGACATTTTGTGAAATGCCATAAAATCAAGAATATGTTATCTGTTCATTCTCTTTAACCTTTATTTAATTTACTAAAGTACAAAGAAAAAATTTCATTTTGCTTCTTTTTGACTATCTGAGATGAGCTCTGGCCCAGAGAACCCGACAGCATCGCTGCATAGAAGAGTAACAGAGATTCAAGTTGCATTTCTTAATGCAGCAGCAGACTGTGTTAAGTGACAGCAGGTTTCTGAAGTACTCCTGAGCCCATGTGGCTATATTTAACACCACAAGCATGACGGTTTCTTATACAGTGCCATCTGAGGGCTCAAAGGCCATGCACATTCAGCTGAGGTTTCCTGCCTTGCCCTACATGTACTGTGATTTCTCTGGATTCCCTGAATCTTTTCACAATATTACGTATGGTAGTTGGTGAAAGACCTAAATTCTTTGCAATTTTGCATTGCGAAATGTACATTTTTGATTTGTTCGACACTTCTCTCATGAAATTTGACACGAAGTGATTAGCCATGATCCAGCTTTGCTTGCAAAGACTGAGATGCTCCTTTTATACCCAAACATGATACCCTAACCTATTACCAGTTAACCTGCTTACTGTGAACTGTTTCAAAACAGTTTAACGTGGATATTCTATAACCTTTTATTTTGCCTCTGTCCCAACTTTTTTGGAGTGTGTTGCAGCCATCAAAATCAAAATTTGTTAATATTTACAAAATACATTTACGTTGGTCAGTGAAAACTTTGGAAATCTTTTCTTTGTACTTTCTTTGTCAATTAAATAAAAGTTCAAGAGAATTAACAAATCACAGATTTTTGATTTTGTTGCATTTTACAAAACGTCCCAACTTTTCTGGAATTGGGGTTGTATTAGTCTGGTAGTCGGAAGAAAGCATTCTAAAAATTAACCGTTTTGTTGTGTTTTACTTTTTTTGACATTGATGTGCAATATTTTTATTTGTTGTAAATGACTGCATTCCTTATTTGTATGCACAGAAAACCTTCCTTTTTGTCTGAACTAAGCATCTGTATATGAAATAATATTGCAAATTAAATATGCTTATATTGGTAGCATTTTCTTTTGAACATTTATACTTGAAAAACATTGTGTGAAGAAACTTTTAAGGTGATATAAATCTTGTGTTGACATTTTCAGGATGGATTTGAAGAATTCCATTCTGAGATCTCATTTATCTTTTTTTTTACCTCGTTATGAAGTTGAGTCATTACAGCCTTTTTTATCAACTAAATGTTTAATTCATGTGTGCTACTTTTTCACTCAAGAACAGAATGTGTCTTAACAGAACTGTATTCACTTAGAAAGCTTTGGTCTGGTATATTTGATCTGGATTTGCATACTAATCCAGTATACTGTTTTAGTATAGAGCATCTCAACATGAACTGATTTAAAACCGACTGTGTTTCCAGAGACTCTCAGACAAACATTATAGTACTATTTGTGCAAGAACTGACTGGTGTTTGTCCGTCAGCATGCTTTGGCACATCTCCACTGTTAAAGTAAAAAACAGCCAGTCTATCAAATGAGCATAAAATGTTTTACAAGAAGCTTATTACTATGAATTATTGACAACTTTCCCCCATTTTACCATCAAGTGTTCTTGAGTGTTGCTTGGAGTTTATTTTTGAGAGCACACTCATTTGCAAAGGAATCTTTTGCCAACAAATGAATGATAAATGTAGATTAAATCACAATATGCTGACATTACTACAGAGTTAAATCTGTATTAATACTAGAAATATTGTGATGAATCGTACTGCTGTGCAATGACTGTACTTGATGGCATTATGGCTTTTTGAGACGTTAGCAAACTCCTTGTAATCGTTCCGATGGTAAGAAAACTTCTTATTGCTTGAAATGTGTATTTCACCCCCAAACTACAGTCTGACCTCATTATCACGGTATTCTGTTACTAATGGAATCCAAAGTCATGAACACACAGGAAGGGCCTCATGTTTCATTGTGTTTTGCTTTATGTGAAGCATGGTCTTTTTGTATGCATTGCTGTTTATTCTTGTAGTGAGTGTGATGTGTGATTACAAATGACTTCATTATAAAATAAAACCAGCTAGACACTTTCATATATATATTATATTTATTTACATATAGCATAATATATACAGTATATCCAATGAATATATACCATGTGCACAATAATGAAGGTAAATTGTGCAAAAGTCTTTGACACCACTATTTCATATTTGTTTTAAAGGAGTAGTTCACCCAAAAATGAAAATTTGCTGAAGATTTGCTCAACCAGAGGCCATCCCAGATGTAAATGTGTTTGTTTCTTTGTCGGACCAGATTTAGAGAATTTTAGCATTATATCACTTGCTCACCAGTGGATCATCTGCAGTGAATGGGTGCCGTCAGAATGAGAGTCCAACAAGCTGATAAAAACATCGCAATAATCTACAGAGAATGCACATGAATTCCAGTCCGTCAGTTAATGTCTTGTGAAGTAAAAAGTTGTTTGTAATCAACAAATCCATCATTATTACCTTTTAACTGTGGATTGTAGCCAAAATACCAGTCCAAAATCAACACCTGCAGTGAAAAAGTTCACCCTCTGTTGTCCTCTAACATTAATTCTATGATTATTTGTTAAGAACTGTTTTGGCTTGTAAACAGTGCTTGATCTGTGCATATTTCTCTCCTGATTCAGATGAGGGCTATTTTTCAACAGAGAAAGCAATATTATGGATAGAGGACTTGGTTGAAGTTAAAGACGTTTCTTACAAACACTTCACTTTTCCACTTTTTTCTTACAAAGCCTTAAATGTTAGATATTATTTGATGGACTGGAGTTGTGTGCATTATCTGTAGATTATTGTGATGTTTTTATCAGCTGTTTTGACTCTCATTCTAACGGCACCCATTCACTGCAGAGGATCCGCTGGTGAGCAAGTGATGTAGTGCTAAATTTCTCCAAATATGTTCCGATGGAGAAACAAACTCAACCACATCCTGGATGGCCTGAGGCGAGTACATTTTCAGCATTTTTGGGGCCAAATATTACTTTAAGGGGCATCAGATCATGATTGATGTCCGCGGGCCGAATAACACCATAATTTTCGCCATAACGTATGTGGTCCGCTGCCACCATGGAACTATTTATTGTAAAAGATATTGCACATTTTTATACTGAAACGAAGGTGCGACCTAGATTAAACTCTGCTAGTCGGCTTAACTGGTTAAGTTACGTTTTTGCGCTGTAACCCTCAACCTCAATTTACCTTCAGTGTCCCAGACTTCTGCACTATACAGTACAGGACATGCTGTATCTGGTTCACAATAATGTGCAAGCTTTAAAAAGTGATGGATTGAAATATTTAATATTGGAGAAACAAAACAAGTGGCTTAATGAGATATTGAAATGACACCAGGAATGAAATATCAATGTACATATGTAACACAGGATGTGCAGAGTATAGGACGGGTTCAACAGATTCCCACCTCAAGACTGTAGAATACAAGGCCTCAGTGGTGTATGTGGTTTGTACTGAAGTAGGAAAGAAACTGTGGGTTTGATTAGTACTTAATGCACTTGCTCTGAATGTAATTACAATTATATGTTTGTCAATGTCTAAAAGTAAAAACACACTTTCTGTAAAGAAACCGCAATGTTCATTTATTTGCTAGCTTTTCTGTGATTGAACTATTTAGACACATTCCTTTACCATAGCAGGAATGTTTGTAACAGTATTTACAACATTAAACAAACTACTGAGAGCGGATACAACCAGATTGTCTCTTTAATCTCTTGATCTGATGTATTTGAAAGAAGTCTCTTCTGATCAGAAATACAGAAAAAAAAGTGAATTGTTACTATTTAAAATAACTATTTTCTATTTTAATATAGTTTAAAATGTAATTTATTCCAGTGATGGCCAAGCTGAATTCTCAGCATCATTACGCCAGTCTTCAGTGTCACATGATCCTTCAGAAATCATACTAATATACTAATTTGGTGCTCTAGAAACATCACCTATTATTATCAATGTTGAAAACAGTTGAATTATTTGATAAATAATCAATGAATTTATATATGAATTAATAATGAATTTTTCATGGGGAAGTCGTGGCCTAATGGTTAGAGAGTCGGACTCGTAACCCAAAGGTTGCGGGGTTTGAGTCTCGTACCAGCAGGGATTGTAGGTGGGGGGCCCACAGTGCTCTCTCCCACCTTCAATACCACGACTGAGGTGCCCTTGAGCAAGGCACTGCTCCCCGGGCGCCGCAGCAAAAAATGGCTGCCCACTGCTCCAGGTGTGTGTTCACGGTGTGTGTGTGTGTGTGTGTGTGTGTGTGTGTTCACTGCTGTGTGTGTGCACTTTGGATGGGATAAATGCAGAGCACTAATTCTGAGTATGGGTCACCATACTTGGCCACATGTCACTTCACTTAAATATACAAATTTATTAATTCAACCTAATGCAGCCTCACTGAATAAAAATATTAGTTTCTTTTAAAAAATGAGCCCAAGTATTTGAAAGGTAGTTTTTCATTAAAGGTTTTGTTAACAACTGTCCATCCTACACTGTCAAAATGCCACTATTGATTGAATAAAAGTCCCAGACAACAGAGAGATGCTTTAAAGATCATATTTAATCTTGGAGAAATATGGATGGTAGGTTTCACCCATACAATGCAGATGAGCCTCCTCAAATTCAGTAATAATACACCATACATGTCTGAAGGACATCTTGGTAGAAATAATAAATTTGTTCAAAATGGTCAAATAAAACAAAAAAAAGTCACATATTCATCCTCTTCACAATATGCTGATTTAATCAGCATTGAGTAATTCTCCACATCACATAAGATAAATAAAGCCATACATTAGCATGTTTTTCTTAATATAATGATTGTTAATACTGTATTTTTCATGTAGTCAATTTGTATAATCAAATCATTTTTAAATAAGGAAATTTGGTAAATAAACAGGTTTTTTTCTTCAGTGTTTTATCATAATGCATAATGTGAAAAAATAAAAAGAAACATCAGTAAATCCCAACAGCTCCAACTGAAAAAGTTAAAAATGAATAATATTCAGTACACACACTGACAACAAAAACAGATGCTTTAAAAACGAAGTGATCTGTACTCATCTGCACTTTATACAAAGCTTAGCTTCCTTCATGTTGTGATGTTCACTATAACCTTCAGCTGAAACAGTCTATATCCTCGGTTAACAGTCAGTTTGAGACGTCACTCAGATGACAGTTTCTCGGAAGACTCCTATAAGGCTGTGTGGACGCTCCTGTGCCATGCGACGGGATCCAGCCCGAGAGCCCATCCTGGAGTTAGTTCCCGAATGGGAACCTGTCCTGCGCTCCGGCCCGGCCTGCAGCTGTGCCCATGTGAAGGAGCTGAGGTCGCCACAGCTGCGCAGGTGAAGGATGCCCGGACGCTTGCGCAGCGGCAGCTCCATCTGCGTCTGCCTGCGGAGGGTGGACTGCGCTGGTGCAACCTCTGAAACTGTAATGGCCTGCAAACATGAATGAAAATGACCTGTCAGCAGGGCAGGACTTAGGGGGGCGGGGGCCCCTGGGCTTGAGGTTATGTTTGGGCCCTATACCTACACTACAAATGTCCTCAAATAGAACACCATTATGGAGTAACACAAAATACCCAAACATATGCTTTGAGGTTCATAAATAGTACAATTAATATGCAACATGTCTAGGCTATAGTCAAAGTTTAAATGTAATATTAAATATTCATTATAATATAATAAACAGGATGTGTTCGCTCAGTTGAGAGATCAAAGCCCTGAATAACTTTAAGCAAAAAAAAAAAAAAGCCAGAGATGTTGGCTTATTAGTATTATAAAAGTTATTCTAATATCTGTGTCCTCTTATGTGAGGTTCTTATTTAATCAATAAATTCAATCGAATAACTGGGTCAGCTGGCCAATCAGAGCAGACTGTGCTTGTCGGAAGGAGGGACTTTGTAGAAAACTAAGCGTTTGAGAGAGGCGGGGCATAGAGGACCTACAATAATGTACAGTATTTGAAAAATAATGTGTTTTTTTTTTACTTTAAACTGCAAAAACACATTTCATTACACCAAATACACAAAATAATGTTCTTTTTAGCAGCATCATATGACCCCTTTAAATGATTGCAAAAATGAAATAAGCTACTTTTTTAAATATGAAACTGCAACCGCCAGTAGGTGGCAGCAAGTGACTGTCTTCATGAGTGAGTTGACTCAACCGATTCGTTTAAAAAGCTGATTCATTTAACTTTGCAAACGACTGAATTGAATCATTCGCTGGTCTGTGTAACACTGAGGAACAAAACACTGTTGTTCGGAGACTGTTGCTGTTTGTTCTATTTTCTTTCTGACGGAGCAAAACGGAATTTTGTGTCTGAAAGTTACTCTGTAAGTTGTTGTTTATTGTACATCTGCGATCGTGCAGATATTTGAGAAAAAAACAGGACTCTTGTTTGCGTGACAGGCCAAGTCCTATATCATAGGCATAGCTATGATATAAAAACAGAAACTCATTAAATTGCAATTTTTTTTTTAATTTAAAATCATTTTGATGACATTTCTTCCCCACTATGTGTAACGGCAGTAAGACGAGAGAGCGCTCAAAACTCATCAGACGATTGCATAATTTAGTGGAACATTAATAGGCTATAGTAATATAGAATCATCCTCTGTAAAGAAATGAGATGTGAACATTTGAGAATGTATCATTATCTTTCTAAATGTGCGCTCTTTGGGGCTAAAGGCTTAATGGAGCCGTTTAAAGTAACTTAGTCATGTGATAAACCAATCGGTGCAGATGCGATTCAAACGTGTGTCCTTCTATGTGAAATAATCATAAATACCAGTTTATGCTGTTTGATTGTGCCTCTAAAGTTGTAGTTGTAAGCTTTAGCCCCGGCTGGCCCGTTTAGATCTTGTGTGTGCAGCGAAATGTGGTTAATAATGTCTGAATTCTGACTGGCATATAAGGAACAAATCAAACAAACGTAAACAGGCAAAGGCAGGGCCCATGGGCTGCAGCCCACTCAAGCCCAATAGTAAGTCCGTCCGGCCATACCTGTCAGGAAATCATTGGAACAAAAATGGACAAACAGGGTATTAAAGTGATAGTGAACCTTTAGTTAATATTTACTCGCTCTCGTGTCGTTCCAAACCTGTATGAGTTTCTTTCTTATGTTGAACATAAAATAAGATATTTTGAAGAATGCTGGTAATCAAAGATTTGTTGGTCCATATTGACTTCCACAGTATTTCTGTCCCTACTAATGAAGTCAGTGGTGACCAACAACTGTTTGGTTCTTCAATAGTCTTCCAAATATCTTCTTTTGTGTTCAACATAAGAAAGAAACTTATACAGGTTTGGAACAACTTGAGTGTGATAAAATTATGACAAAAATTTTCATTTTTGGGTGAACTACTCCTTTAACCTTAAAGTAGTAACCCGACAAACAGTAAACCAACAGCCTATAGCATCCGCATCATAGGTGATATGATCAAAATGATCAAAAATGTTTTGCACAAAAAACTTGTACATAATCTACTACATGTCTTCTGTTTTCTGATTGATATTTTATACTAGCAAGTACACGGCCTTTCAATATTATTGTAAAAATGTCCATCTTCAAGTCATGGTACACTTGCCTTTGAGCTGTGAAATATTTACAGATTTTAATGAAGTAAATTTAAGAACGGTTTTAATACTGTAGGTAATTCTTCAGGATGAGCACTTACTGGGCTGTAACAACTTAGCAACTTGATTTTTTCTTTTAGAAAAATTTGCTAAAAATGTTCACACATCAGGCTTTTGAGGAATGTTTATTTGGACATCTCTCCGTCACTGTACTGCATTGCATTTTGCTATATGTAAATAAGCATTTAAATATTATCTTACTAAGACATATTATTGGGAGATACAGAGTGGCAGCTAATATTTCTATGCATTTTATGCGAATAGTCTGCTATATCGTTTTAAAGTGATTAACATTACAAGCTAAATGTATTTCAACTTACTTTTTTGCTATATAAATATCAGCAACTGGACCTTTTGTGAAAAATATGAATTGCATATTTTTACTCAGTTTGGGTCTTTTTTTTCCTCCTCGAGTATGAGATCCATATTGTCTTATATCATACTGTATATGAGCCATAACAGCCTGGTGTATATAATATGTGACCCTGGACCACAAAACCAGTCATAAGTATCACGGGTATATTTGTAGCAATAGATACAAATATAGAAAATAAATTCTTGATTTTTGATTAGTAATATGCATTGCTAAGAACTTCATTTGGACAACTTTAAAGGCGATTTTCTCAGTATTTTGATTTTTTTTTGCACCCTCAGATTCCAGATTTTCAAAGTTGTATCTCGGCCAAATATTGTCCTACTCTAACAAACCTTATTTAAAAAGCTTATTTATTCAGCTTTCAGATGATGTCTAAATCTCAATTTCGATAAATTGACCCTTATGACTGGTTTTGTGGTCCAGGGCAGGGTCACATATGATACTCAACAAAAAACATGCTGGATTCAAACTCAATTCACCCCCTTGAGCACCAAAGCTCCATGTATCAGAGCAAGTGCTTTGAGTGCTACGTAACATGACGTGTTTTCATGCCATGTGTCTTGCCTGGTCAATGAAGCTGGCGCAGCGAACGGCCTCCTCCATGTGCTCCTCATCAGAGCGCAGCACGGTTTTGATGCTGTTGACCAGCTCCTGTACCTCAGGGGTCAAGCTGCAGGAGGACTGCTCCAGAAAACGGGCCACCAGCAGTTTTGTGTCTCTATAGCTCTGGTAGTCCACCATAGAGTTGGGACGAGGCTTGCGTTTGCCACGGCCCTGTCGTAGCGTAACCGTTCCATGCTCCGTTACAGTCACTGAGCCTGGAGCAAGAGCCGAACCAGGACCTAATTCTGTCTGTGTAGCTGCTTCACAACTCATTACTGAAAGAGGCAGAGAAACCGATGAGATATAGCTCACTATGTTTTTGACAAATATTTGTCAAATAATGTACACTCACTAGAGATGATAAATACATGGGGCTACATGAAGTGGGGCTACACAATTTGGAGAAAAATATCTAATTGCAAATTTTCTAATAAAAATTGTAATTGCAATTAAAAAAAACTGCTGTGCTTGTTTGTCGGGCTGCACAATAATTGTAACTATAATAATAATTATATATATGACTACAACAACATCAACAATTGTTATAATTATTATTACTGAATAAAAATAAACAAGATAAGAAATATTAAGTAATACTTCACTGTAAAATAATAAAAATTGAGAATTTAAGAAATATAATACAATCTTGTGGGAGGGGGAATCATTTTCTGATCAAATTTGTGATTATGGTTGTGAATGCTTGTAGGGCTGCACAATTTGGCCAAAATGTTAGTGATTGATTATATATTAATAATAATAATAATAATAATTACTATTGTAACATTTCACCGTAAAATAATACAATCAAGTGTTTAAGAAATATAATAATTACAATATTAATATTTATTGCGGTCTTCATTCATTTTCAAACATTAAACCATAACGGTTTATTTTTCCAGAAAACCACAGACATCAATATTCACATCTGAGCTGTGACAATACGTAATTTTAGTATTTTCAAAAAGTAAAACTGTGACAAAAAGTAATTTTCAGTAACCACAAGCCATACTGTACTCATAAAACCAATAACTAATAATCTGTTATTCCAAAAACCCATTTGAAATAACTGAGGGAGCCCATGGCTCAAAAATCCTAATTCTCTTCTAGGTTTTAGGACTACAAACTGAACTGCTCTATTCAACCAATTAATAAACAAAACAATCCTAATAATTATGATTATGAAGACAGATAAGAAGCCACAAAGCATAAAAACTTCATGAACCTTTACTCACCATCATGTCATTCCAAACTTGAATAACTTTTTTCTGCACAAAAGATGATATTTTGAAGAATGTTGGTTACCATCGACATGCATTGTTTGGACCAAAAAAAAAATCACTTCTTATCTTCTTTTATGTTCCACAGAAGAATAAAATGTCATACATTAGATGTTTGGAATTAAATTAGGGTGAGTAAATGATGACTGAATTTGAATTCTGCTGACCCCCATCAGCAACACAGAGACAGAGAGTCCTATATTTAAAATGGGCTTAAAGTAACCACTGACACTGGCTATATCTTCTCTATAAGTATCAGACCAAGTTCTCTGATCTGGACACACACACCGAGTAAAAAGATACCTCCATCTGTCATCAAAGAGAAGCCAGTGTTCATAAACTAATTATAAAGAACTGTGTCAGTGCCTGTGCTTTGACCTTTTATAGAAACCTCATTCATTTTATATCCATTTAGGCTTGAAATGAGCCAAATCTGCCTATATCCTCTAAAAGCAAGTCCAATTTAATCTCATTGGTTGTCTGTGACAACCAATATACAGTTAGGTCCATATATACAGTATTTGGACAATTTTTATTATTTTAGCTGCTGACCAAAACATATTCAAATGACAGTTATTTAATGAATATGGGCTTAAAGTGCACACTCTGATTATTAATTTGAGGGTATTCACAAAATTGGAGGAAAGGTTAAGGAATTACAGCTCTTTAATATGTACCACCCCCTTTTTCAAGAGACCATAAGTAATTGGATAGTTGACTCAAAAGCTGTTTCATGGACAGATGTGGGCTATTCCTTTGTTACTTCTACATCAATTAAGCAGGTAAAAGTTCTGGAGTTGATTTTAAGTGTACCATTTGCATTTGGAAGCTGTTGCTCTGAACCCACATCATGCAGTCAAAGGAGCTCTCCATACAAGAGAAACAGACAGTTGTTAGGCTTCAGAAACAAAACAAATCCATTACATTAGAACATTAGAAGTGGCTAAATCAACAGTTTGGTTCATTTGGTTCACAAAGTCTGCACCTCAATTTCATCTTGATTGTTTCATTTTAATTCTATTCTGGTGGCATACAGAGCCGAAATTATGAAAATTGTGTCAATGTCCAAATATATATGGACCTAACTGTATAGTTTAGAGGTCATAATACAACATAAAAGCATCTAACTGTAGATTGCCGCAACTGACATAACAGACCATTTGAGAATTCCTCCTCTACCTTTGGCGGTCAGGTCTAGCAGGACAGGGTCGCTGTTGGACCTGCGGAGGCGAGGTCTGTGAGCTTTTCTGCTGGAGGAGACTGCGCTATGAGGCTGTCTGGACTGTGCCGGGGGTGTGGGGCTCAATATGGCCGTCTGACGGCACCTGTCTGAACAAAACATGCAAACAAACGACAAAAACATGTTAACCTTTCAGGGCTTTTCACACTGAATGAGTTAACCCTGGGTCATACTAATATTCCGGGTAAACGGAATCTTGCTTCTTGTTTCACACTGCTTGCACGGTCAATAATCTCAACAGAGAGGGACCCCAAGCAATGAGCTGTACAAGGGCCCTAGAATCCCTAGCAGCACGCCTGCTGCTGACTGTACTATCAAGTATTTCCTGAACTTGATTTGGACTTTCCTGGTAAGAATATTAATAAGGTAAGAATAAAAAGGTAAGAATAAAACACTCTTGTTCAATCCAATTCATGTGTTTTCTGTCACCATTTGACATTTTTCCCCCAAACGCTGAAGCGACTGTTTATATAATGTGCCGTGTTTGTGTGACTGCCCAAAGCATGTGAATATGAGGCACACGACTGCGGTTGTCTGTCGCTAAACATCTAGGCATAACATTCTAACACCACATCTCCAGAGCAAGACTTCATAAACCCAAGTAAAAAGAGGTTTAGAACGACAGGGTTAAGAACAGTGTAAAAATACTTTTTTGTACTGAAGTCTATTTTCTATTTCTGTCCTGTCAGCAACTGCAAGGTCAAATTGGTCATAAGAGGAATCTGGCCAAAACAAGCCTAGTCTATATAGTCAACAAGAGTCAGCAACGTCTCTTATGCTTACAAAGTCTGCATTTTTTTAATTGAAAATACAGTAAAACAGTAAAAGAAAATACAGTAAAACAGTAATATTGTGAAATATTATTACAAATTAAAATAACTGTTTTCTATTGTAATATATTTTAAAATGTAATTTCATTTCTGACGGCAAAGCTGAATTTTCAGCACTCATTACTCCAGTGTCACAGGATCCTTCAAAAATCATTCATATATGTGACCCTGGACCACAAAACCAGTTTTAAGTCGCTGGGGTATATTTGTAGCAATAGCCCACTGTATGGGTCAAAATGATTGATTTTTCTTTTATGCCAAAAATCATTAGGATATTAAGTAAAGATCATGTTCCATGAAGATATTTTGTAAATTTCCTACTGTAAATATATCAAAACTTAATTTTTGATTAGTAATATGCATTGCTAAGATCTTTATTTGGACAACTTTAAATGGATTTTCTCAATATTTTAAATTTTTTGCACCCTCAGATTCCAGATTTTCAAATAGTTTTATCTTGGCCAAATATTGTCCTATCCTAACAAACCATACATCAGAGTTCAGATGATGCATAAATCTCAATTTCAAAAAATGGATCCTTATGACTGGTTTTGTGGTCCAAGGTCACATATGCTAATTTGGTAACAAGTAATATTTCTTATCAGTGTTGAAAAGAGTTGTACTCCTTGATATTTTTGTGGAAACCAAAGTACTTTTTTGTGTACTCCAAAGTAAAGCACTTATTTAAAATAAAAATCTTTTGGAATATTATAAATATTTTTACTGTCACTTTTGGTCAAATCAGCAAAATTGCATCTTTGCTGAATAAAATATAAATTTCTTTAAAACATGTACATTACTGACTCCATACTTCTGAACAGTTGTTTACACATTCAAAATGTAGGATTTATACCTCGAAATGATCAAGTTATCAGATTTTTTAAAAATCTAAAATGAAGAAAAGGTTGCATGAACATCAGGTTTGACACAAACTTGTGGAGTTCATGCAGTTCAAAGTTCTGCTTTCATTAAAGCATCATTTTTCAATTCAACATTTTTAATTGTTATGCTGATAATATAATTGATAATGAAAACATATGTATGAAATTAGAAGAATGCTGAAAACTGGCCGCTATATTGTGACTTGTGAAAGATCATTAAAAACCTGCAGGACTGTGCTATCTTTGAAAGTGTTGAAGGATACAGACAGCTATAAAAAGAAAAACAAATCCCTCACAGAAGAGCACTGGAGATACAACTGACACACCACTAAAATACATGTCTTTTAATACACAGATGACATCATTTTGGATGGGTACTGTGAAATGCTGTAAGCATCCTGATTAAATATAGAGTGCCAAAGGCACTAGGTTCATTTAAGCCGTGTCAATGACACATTTCATGTGGCAGCTCCATTTTCTAATTCCAGATTTTCCTATGGGAATTTTCTATTAGCTTATATATAATGTTAATATTATTAAACTATATTAAACTACATCATGTTTTTCAACAAAATTATACATAAGCCTAATTGCCTTTAAATATAATATATTTAAATATTTAGATTGAATATAATATAACGTTTTACTGAAGGCTATATTATAATTAATGCTTCTTTATTTATATAATTATTTATATATTTTTATATTTTTCCACAGTATTTTGTTTTATTTGTTTACAATATTTACATTATAATTACACGCAGATCTTTTAGGCTATAACCGTGTATGGCAAGGCAACTTACGCTTAACCAATTAGAATGTTTCTTAACTTTTTTATTAACATTTTTTAATTGAATTGAATGATTTTGCGACATTGATTATTGTGACAAATATTGCATGTTTCTGATGCATATGGTAAAGGCGCACTGGATTATTTTATATAATTATGTTATGATTAAACACAAAATCGACTTGTTACAATGGCCTGTAAGAATGGAAAGCCAGAGGGAGGGACTTTTTCTTCGAGCTAATTGGTTAGATTGTTACGAGCTCTGCAGTTGCTATGGTGATTATGGTGGCTTCATTGCGCCTGTTTGCAAATTAGCTAGCATGCTAGGTAGCGTTGGTCAAATCTTGTTGCAAATGCAAACAAAATAAATTTACCTTCAGTTTAAAACTGGCTGTACTTCCAATTTAATTGGTAGCGAAAGCGAATATCACGCTTATACAGGATGCTTTCTGGCTATCAAAAATAAAGCTGATGACTATACCACCTGCTGTCCACAACCGCTATTTCTCCAGAACAAACATACTATGTGAGTTGACAAGTTGGTTGTAAATATTTATCTTTAAATAATATGCACTGCTTTCTTTTGATGTCAATGACTGTGTGTCAGCTAATAATAAACACAGAGTGGAAAAGATTAAACGATATTGTGTCGTTAGGTAACGTTACAAGTCCAAAATGTGTTACTTTCCCCAAACAATAAATTTTCCGGATTTACAATAAACAATGAAACTCATATAAATCTGCTACGTAATATTCAGATCGCACAGTGAGTAGTTGAACAAAGGTCTAAAGAGAACCCTGCAAGTGGAAATTAATCAGTTTAATAAATATGCTATGGCTAATTCCCAAATACACTAAGAAATCAAAACATTTGACTTTTATTTATTTCTATTTTTTTATTTATTAGATCTACAGATTCAGAGAGGTCGGCTAAGGAAGTTGTCAGTATTAGTGAGAATTTCTTACTTATTGTATTATACCTAGCCTATGGCAACTATCAACCTAGAATAAGAGTACAAATTGATAATTAGTTTGATCATGTTTATTAGGACATCACAAAAGTAGAAAAGCAGTGTACACACCATACAAAACAATACACTATTGTTACAGTATACTACATAATATAGATGGAATGGATAGTGAATATACTGCTAGATTGAGATTTCTGAATGCTGGAGTGGTAATGGTATGCAGATATAGATAGATTGTACACACTCAGGAGTGTTTATTAAAATAAAAACATTGTGACAACTTGAATAACTTAATAATAAGAAAGTTCAAACATGTGAATTGTCAAATCTGTATTTTATTTATTTATTCTGTGTTCAAGAGTGTGTGATTTTATTTATTTTTTTAATTGCTTTTTTTAAGAAATGTCCTTTGTATTTGTCTCTCTGGGTTCAACTGAGTTTTAAGGTTCACCGAGTATCAGAACGGTTGGTCTATCACAGTACATTATATTCTGTTACAGACAAGAGCAGCTCATTACCAGTCATGACCAGGAGGTGGCGATATTGACTGAGAAATTTTGGCGCTTACAGACTAATTCCACCAGTCTGCAACTTTTGTTTAGTTACAGTAAGTTCTCATCATGTGTATATCATCCCACCTAAATTGTTTTGCTTTTCATTCTGTCACTTTTTGATTAAAATGGTTTTGTTTCATGTTCAAGTTAGAAAACCAACTGAAAGTTTATCCTGTTTACACCAGAGAAAGATAAATGAGCTGGAGTCAGAAACAACAAGGTAATGAGATGAGTGTTTCAACTCCTTTTTGTGTTTACACCCAAACTGGAGAACTTGGATGCTGTTATGATGGATGTTTCACATTAGCACTGTCTGACTGATGCTGTTGGTATGCTTGATAGCCTTCATATGCTCAATGTGGCTGTACTCAACAATGAGAGAAGGTTCCCTTTCATGGGAACTTCGAACTGCGTCCTCTAGGGGTCGCTATGGGGAACGCCTTGTCGTGACCAGTGTCTGAAGCATACATAGAAAAAACACCAACTCGTTGGCCCGGCGACAGCCATGACGTCACTACCGGTGCGACTATAGTATAAATAGGCGCCGGGAGCACACATCATTCTCTTCTTCATCTTCATTGACTGTTCTGTTTGAAGCGTGCATTTCCGAAGAAAAAGTAAGAGCTATCTCTATTTATTATGGCGAGCACTAGCAGAGCATTTAGAAGGTGTGTGCATCTGTGTCATCGCTATTTGACACCAGATGACACACACGATCTATGTGTTGTTTGTTTGGGCGAAGAGCATGCACGCGATGTCCTCGAGGGGGCAATCTAAGTGCATTGCGAGCGTTTTCCAATGAAAAAGCTCCGCTCTCATTTGTCTCCCTTTTCGAGTAAAGAGGGGCAGCCATCTGCTTCCCGCGGTTCAGCAGGAACTATCATGCGTCAAAGGGAGGTAGGCAAGACCTGAGGGATGTTAACCAGACAAGGCGTCAGCGCTTTCATCCGGATCAGAGTAATACTTAGGTATCCACTCTTTCCCTCGGGGGGTGTAACATCTACCCTTTTCTTCCCCTTCCTAATTTCCCTGTAACCGCCATCTCTCCACCTGACCGAGGTTAGGTGGAAGCTTCCTGCATAACAGTCTCCTTTTTGCTAGTTTCTTTGCAGTGTTTCCCGGGACCTGTGTGTTCTGTCCCTTTTCTAGGATAAGTCCTCGATGAGGCCCCCTCTGAAAGCCGGGTTCGGAACCGGGTGCTCGACTTGCAGTGTTTATGTCACTCGTCGATATATGTCCAGACGGTAAGAAAAGCCGGGTTTTCGGCTTCATACTTCCTGGATCATGCGGCCATAACACAGGCTTCTGCGGGAGCCTTCGTGATCATCGGGCCCCCGGCGCGTCACTGCAAAAATTTCCTGGACGTCCGGGCTGGGGTTACGCTTTGATGCTACCCTGACTGGTCTACCGTATCTGGAGCTTCCCGATCACCAGAATATCCCCTCTTGCTGAGGCATCGAGCGGGAGGTATAGGTGGCATTACGAGAACCTTCCTGTGTAAATGCTGTCTCGGGCAGTGCTCCCCTCACCTTTGAGGGTTGTATTTGAGCTTGCCTCTCCCGTTTGGCCCAGTACTTCCGGGTATCTGTAAACAGATGCTCAAAAAACTCTAAAATCCAAATACTATGCTAAGTGCACACGTTAAACTTTGCGCACTTTTCTACAAATCCACATAAGTGGTAAGTGTACACGTTATGCTTTGCGCACTTTATAAAATCCACATAGCTGGTAAGTGTGCACGTTATGCTTTGC